CATTTTCACTCTGATTTCAAACTCTCCCTCTTTACTGGCAGATAACACAGAACAGCAGTTTTGTCAATTTGTGCTAAATTTTCCCACTCACCCAAATGAACTGGATACAGCTCTCCTGGTGGAATTCGTACGCCACTGTCAACTGGAAATTTGTTTATTATAAAGTATACCTTCCCCTCTATTTCTAGGGCATTAGGGGTGCCTGGGGGAATGTGTTTTTGTTCCACAACAGACCAAGTGTTTTTTTCCTCATCATACACTTCTACAAGTGCGGGGTTACCACGTAGAGAACCGTTATTGGCGTCAATATGTACATTACCCCCTGCAACATAGAGTATATTGTTTACTACAAAAAGACTAGATCCAAAGTGAGATCCACAGAGACTTGCTATTTCTTTCCATTCGTTCTTTACTGGATCAAAGCAGTGTAACACTGCAATAAGCGTAGTCGAGCCGCCGCTAAATGAAGGGATTAGACGTCCATAAAGTACATATAGCTTAGCGTTAAGGACTGTTGCTCCGCTACAGAAAAACCTTTGACTACTTGGAATACTTACTTTAGCAAAAGTTTGCCACTGACGTTTAGCAAAGCTATACCTTTGAGGAACCTCATTACATTTAGAACTAATTGCATACATATAATCGTCTACAATACATAAATTGTTGATTACACCGCGTGAGTGTGGATGCTTCTCCCACACATTCCGTTCTGTATCATAACGATAAATGTAATGACCCCCGTCAAATGCAGCAACATACAAGTTGTTGCCAGCAGCCGCTGCACAGTAACAGCTCGATGCCTCAATTGATGGTGTTGTTGACGCCAAAGGTTTCCACAAGTTTGCTCTAACGTCAAAATACTGCATTTGAGCCTGAGGTAGAACCGCTATAAGAACCTGAAATGACAGATAAGGAATTATAAAGATACAAAGAAACGCCAATGACCTGTCCAAAACACCCGAGCCGGGTCAACACATAGTGAACGAAAAATGTTGCGTGACTACATTAGGTAGTTTAAGTAGGGAGTTTAAAAAACAACTACGGCGACCTCGAGGACAACGTCGATTAAAAAATGAACGCAGAATTTTGGTCATTTCATGTTGTTGTTTTGCAGAGGACGGCAAAGAAAAGTACCAATAATTATAACGCACGTGCAAAGCCATTGTTCTTCTCATTTAGTGGCTTCACACAAGGGCTTGTAAGTATAATCTAAGTGCATTTGGAACCTACTTTAAGTGTGAAGGGGTGAAATGTACTTACTTGAACTTTACTTAGTAACCAAGGAAACGTTCGTAGTTTAAAGAAGCCGAAGGTCGACGCCAAGTATGTTCTACAAAACACTTCAGAACACACTTGACCAACAGGAGCAAATCACGTGGGTATCCAATTACAGGTGTTCAATTACAAGAAACCTGTAATTGGACACCCAAGTGATCGCGCGCCGATTACGTGGCTAATCAAAACTATAACAAAATTCTCGAACGTGATTGGCCATCAGCAGCCCGATTTGAGCATTAATTGGACAGTGTACGCGTCATGCTTGTAATTGGACANATACGCGTCATTTTGCGCGCGCTGTTGCGGTGCACTTTGTTGAGTAAACTGCTGTGTTTTTCAGCATTCATAACGACATTTAATCGTTCAGCGATCAATCGATGGTTTGTTCGTTTCTCGAATTTTGTCATGGTTTTGATTAATTGGTAACAGGACATCGTGTCGTCCAATTCAGTCTGTAATCATACTCGTGATTAACTAATCGGACTCCCGCTTCGCGGTCGTCCGATTTTGTTAATCACTCGTATGATTACAGACCGAATTGGACTC